CATCGGGCTCCCTGCTCAGCGGGGAGTCTGCTTCTCCCTCTGACCCTCTTCCCTCTCGTGCTCTCTATCTCTCATTCTCTCTCTCTCATAAATAAATAAAATCTTTAAAAAAATAAATAAATAAATAAAATCTTTAAAAAAAAAGTGATTTTTCCAAGAGACTTTAATATAAATTTTTTAATAGAGTTGTGCCTTACTATCATTTATGTGTTTTCCCCAAAGGTGAAAGAAGAATTCGTGTTCATACTTTGTGTTTGCCTGTAGTTTCAACTCTGAATGAAGTCTTTCTTGGAGCTGATGTTCAAGCAATTTCAGGGTTATTGGCCAATATGGGTAAGAATCGTTACCAGCTATTGTAACTATTTCACAAATAATAACATTAGAAAAATCCACATAGTTTTATTTTCCTTTAAATAAGTAGCTTTAAAGGTTTCAGTGTTTTAGATCTTCTGTATGCCTCCTAAGTAACTACTTGAATGAAAGGCTGTTGCAGTTTACCTGATTTTTAAAAAAATTTTTTAAGAGCTTTATTGGGATATAATTTATATACTACTTCACATAACCCATTTTAAGCATACAACCCTACTATTTATAGTATATTTACAGAATTGTGTAGCCATCATCTCAGTCTGATTTTAGAACTTTTATCACCCCAAAAAGAACCTCATGCCCATCAGTAGTTACTGCCCACTACTCTCTCCTCCTTCCCTCACTGGTTTTTGGCAGCTACTAAACTGCTTTCTTTCTCATAATCTGCCTATGATGGACTTAAATACCATATTTTACTTAATGTTCAATACTACTGGTTAATAGCTTTCTAATGAGCTCTGTAACTTGGATTACAACAGACTTTGAACTGTAAAGATTTTTAGACTTGGAGTCTTGGAATTCAGGATTAAAAACCAGTTTACTCTCACAGATTAAGTTTGCAGCCTTGGCCAGATCACATGAGCTAGGAGAAAATTTACTGATACCTTCACTTTTTTACTTCCATATCAGATATAGTTGCTTCCTTGAAGTTTTTTTGGTCCTTTTTCAAATACATAGAGCTTAACATCATTTTGGTTCTTGCTTTTTTTCTCCTTCTGGAAAGATGCCATTGTGTCCATTTGCTTCACACTCAGATCTGTCTATATTAGGAATAATTACTCATTTTCTTGCATTTCCTATTGGGAAATTTTTTTCTTTAATGAAGCCTGATAAAGAATCCAACCCTATTTTAGTCTCATATGCTGTTGAAAGTTAAAGATTGTGACCTACGAATTTGAGGGTCACTACCTTTATATTTTGTTGAACTAATACTTTTAGTAATCATATGATCATTCTTTATTATCAATAAGAACTATATTTCAGGCATTATTTGTAGATTTAAAAATTTTTCACAATTTGCCTCACAAATACTAATTTTGTTTCTAAACTTGATTTATTCCATTATGCACATTTTTTCACATTTTATCAAAATCTTAAATCAAGGGGCGCCTGGATGACTCAGTCATTAAGTGTCTGCCTTTGGCTCAGGTCATGAACCCAGGCTCCCTCATCCGCGGGAAGCCTGCATCTCCCTCTCCCACTCCCCCTGCTTGTGTTCCTTCTCTTGCTGTGTCTCTGTCAAATAAATAAATAAAATCTTAAAAAAGAAAAAATCTTAAATCAAGAAGTCTTCAGTTGAAGTCTTAAGTGTTACTATTGGGGCACCTGGTTGGGGGTCAGTCTGTTAAGCATCCATCTCTTGGTCTCAGCACAGGTTTTTGAGTGTGCAGAAATGCACATAAACAGTGGCATGACAGGTGATAAGAATCATCTAAGTAGCTGTCCAGGAGCTCTTTCTTTTTTTTCTTTTCTTTTTTTTTTAAAGATTTTATCTATTTATTTGAGACAGATACAGCGAGAGAGGGAACACAAGCAGGGGGAGTGGGAGAGGGAGAAGCAGGCTTCCCGCTGAGCAGGGAGCCCGATGCGGGGCTCAATCCCAGGACCCTGAGATCATGACCTGAGCCGAAGGCAGATGTTTACGACTGAGCCACCCAGGCACCCCCCCTTTTTTTTCTTTTAAAGATTTTATTTATTTATTTGACAGAGAGAGAGCGAGAGAGGGAACACAAGCAGGGGGGAGTGGGAGAGGGAGAAGCAGGCTCTCCACTGAGCAGGGAGCCCGATGTGGGGCTCGATCCCAGGACCCTGGGATCATGACCTGAGCTGAAGGCAGACGCTCAACTACTGAGCCACCCAGGCACCCTAGAGCTCTTCCAGTAAATATAAAATTCTCTGTGAAGAAAGCATGTGTGTTTAGTTATAGAGTTTTTTCTTTCTCTATGGTATATAACATAAGATGGTGGATTATAATTAATAACATCTTAGATCCAAGATAGAGTTTTCCCATTTTACAGATAAGGAAACAAGCTCATGAAGGTTAGATTCCTTGCCATATTGTCATACAGCTAAGAAATAGAGACCCATTTCAGGAGAGTTTGGTTTGATTCTTCAAACTATATGCTTTTAACTGCTTCACTTGCTCCTTCTGTGTAACAAATTGGAGAGAGAATTTGTATACTAGAAAAAAAATTACATCTCTTGTATCTTTAACAGTGGGGGGTAGCTAAACTTCTCTCTTTTCTCTTGTTTGTCCCTACCTCCATCTCTGTTAGCTGTTGACAGGTCAGTGACTGCCAGTCTGAGTGATGCTCGGGATGCCCTGGTGAATGCTGTCATAGACTCTCTTTCAGCTTATCGTTCTTCAGTCCTAAGTAACCAACAGCCTGGACTCATGGTTCCTTTTTCTTTGCGGCTTTTCCCACTCTTTGTGTTGGCTCTCCTTAAACAGGTAAGAGAATCAAAACCAGAAACTAAAATAGTGAAAATGTCAGTTTTTTATGCCAATTTTTTATGCCAGTTTTTTAATGCCAGATTTTTATCCTGTGAACCACTAAACACTTGTATGTATTACTTAAAGCCATTTAAGTTTTCTGAGGACAGTGACTTTGATTTTTACTTGAACCTTGAACGAATTTGTAACCCAATAAAGTTACAAGATACTGATTTAAAGCACCTGCCTTATTTGTAAGAGATGTTCACCAGGTATTCACTGACATTATCAGAGATGTCAGTGATGATCGGTTTTCCAGTTTTCCAGAACAAGAGCTGTATATTTTATTGCTCATGCAAGAAGTCACACATGAAACTCTTTTGGCTTTTTCCTGCTGTCTCCAGTATTTCAGCCACATACTACTACTTAATCTTAGATATGCCATCTCATACCTGTGCACCTGTTTCCATGACCTGCATTGTACTTTCCTATTCCTGTGTTTGAGCTCAAATGTTTTCTGGCAGTTGCCTTTCCTTCTATGGTCTTTTAGAGTTTTTTATTTGATATTTATTACTTGTCTCTCCTGCCTGCCCTCTGCCCCTACCTACCACTGGCAGGTAGAGGAGGCTTATTTTTCTAGTATCCAAAATAAAATGTCCAAGCTTGTATACTTAGGGTATAAAGTTTATTAATTTTAAATATATATTATAAATTTTATTAAATTTATAAATTTATTAAATTTTATTAAAAAGCTCATGTCAATAAATCACCTGGGAGAGCACCCCAGATTCCAAAATTGATGAAAACTACTCTGATCTTGTCAATTTGTATATTTTTCTGAACTCCAGGATTGACTGTATGGTGTATGTCATCTCTTCTAGGAGAGAAGAACAACCCACTCATACTAATAGGATGGCTTTTGGATCAACTTCCAGTTTAACTCAAATTATGTATTTCCACTTCTGAATATAATGTTAAATGCACATAAATTATATAAATACTTAAATTTTAACACTTAAAAATCTGAGCTTTTGCCTCTTTAGGTCTTTCCTTAAATGCTGTCCTTTCCCTGAGGCCTGCCTTTGCTGATCTCACTTAGTGTGCAATGTTCTCTAGCCATCCTAACCTACATTCTTTACTTCTCTTCCCTCCCTTATTTTTCTCCATATTATTTAACACTGACATATCAATATTTTGCTTGTTTATTATTTACTTTTCCCTTACTAGAATTTTTTTGTCCATTAGGGCAAGGATTTTTATCTTTTTTGAAGAGTTACCACTTTGTCCCAGCACCTAGAACAATTCTTAGTACATAATGGGCTCTCAGTTAATAGTTATTGAATGACTAAATAAACTTTCCTTCTTCCGTTTTCCATAATATTCTTTCTTCTTTCTTAGTGACTATTAACATACTAATTTAAAAGATCGTGGGGCACCTGCCTGGCTTAGTTGGTAGAGCATGTGACTTTATCTCGGGGTCATGGGTTTGAGCCCCATGTTGAGTGCAGAGCTTACTTAAAAAGAAATTTTAAGAGCCTTGGGGCCTCAGGCTGGCTCCTTCAATAGAGCATGCAACTCTTGATCTCCGGGTTATGAGTTCAAGCCCCATGTTGGATGTAGAGATTATTTAAAAAAAAAAAAAAATCTTAAGAGCCTTTTCCAATTTTCCTTTATTTATAATCTCATTGCTGCTAGCTCTCTGCCTGTTTCTATTACAATTTTAGGATTTTATTTTTTTAAGTAATCTCTACACCCAGTGTGGGGCTGGAATTCACAACCTCAAGATCAAGAGTTGCATGCCCTACTAACTGAGCCAGCCAGGAGTCCCAGGAATGCTTAAAACCCTACCCCAAAACTTTTAATATTCTCCATAAGCTAATATACCAGTTAAAACTCAGTACTTAAACACCAGTAAAACTTATTATTTACTACTTTTATTCTGCTAAGTAACCATCCTCATTTGTATTATTTTTTCCGGTTGATTTTTAGGCTTTATTGTGGTGTTCAATTTCTCTAACTATGGGAGAAACAAGGATAGTTATAACCACCATTAGTCATCACCTAGCATTTATGAAACACAGATGTTTAGTCCTTTGTTTGTGTTTTCATTTTATCATCTGCAGTATAACTTTATCCTTCTCATGGTATTATTTAGATTTTTATATCATTATCCCTCTATGGCATATAGAATGTTTAGATCTATTTCACTGATTAGGAAACAACAGAGAGACCTAATGACTTTGCCATGGTAATTAGCTTCTTTCAGGTGGCAGTATAGCCATAATTTAACAGATGTGTGACTTAAGAGATACTTAACAGAATTAATTAAAAGAATAATTAAAAATAAATTTGCTAATTCTGTCTGAAGATATTCTTTTAATATCTGATATTTGCAAAGTTTTGTTTATATTTGTTATTAAGTACCCCTCCCCTTTTTATGGGGCGTGATGTTTTGTTACAGAAATCGTTTCAGACTGGGACAAATGCACGTCTAGATGAACGCATTTTTGCCATGTGTCAAGTGAAAAATCAGCCCTTGGTTTACCTTATGCTCACAACTCATCCCAGTTTGTATAGAGTTGACAATCTCTCAGATGAGGTAAGATTGATTACTTTTTCAGTGGCTATTTTTTGGAGGTTTATAAACCTAACTGTACTGAGTCCATTGTAGAATGAGGAAAGTTTTGTTTTTTTTAAGATTTATTCATTTTACAGAGAGAGAGCGAGCACACATGGGGATGAGAGGGTGGGCAGAGGGAGAAGCAGGCTCCCCACTGAGCGGGGGGGGCCTGATGCAGGACTCCATCCCAGGACCCTGGGATCATGACCTGAGCCGGAGGCAGACGCATAACAACTGAGCTACCCAAGTGCCCCAAAGAAAAAAATATTTAAGTTGTAACATTATTTGCCCCTTTATTTCCTCATTCTTTCATATGGATCTTCACTAGGAGAGTAGGAAACAGAGCCACTGATGGCTTATCTTCTTTCCCACCAGAGAAAGACAAGATTCTTTTTTTCTTTCACATTAGAACGCCTCTAGGGGAAATTTCTGAATGGCTATATTGAGTCAGTGCTAGTTCTTTGTGCTGCTACCCACATGCCCTAAGGTGAGAGGTCTTAAGGTAATGTGATTAATACTCCCTCTTAAAGCTAAAGCCTCATGCTGGAGGGGGCATACCGCTTGGTAGATCAGTATTTTATTTACTTCCTCCTTTAGGTAAGGTTTAATCAAGCACCTAAGTTTAAGTACTCCAAATTTTTTTGGTCAAAAATTAATAGTTATGAATACTTAAAGGTGTGTGTGTGTTTTCAGAGAACAGTATTATTGTCCATTATAAATGAGAAATTTACATTTCTGGCCTTAATAAATTAATGTCCAACTGAATAGAAGTATTAAAATCTCATTTGCATTGGGCTTTTATGCCTCCCTCACATGTACACATAACCTAAGCCACACAATCAGCCATTATTATTAACTAAATTCCAGACTTAATTTGGTTCTCACTGAAGTCATTTATTTGTTCCGGATACATGGGTATTGGTTGCATTTATTATATTTTTTTTTTAAGATTTTTTTTTAACAGATTTTTATTTATTTGACAGAGAGAGGCACAGTGAGAGAGGGAACACAAGCAGGGGGAGTGAGAGAGGGAGAAGCAGGCTTCCCGCAAAGCAGGGAGCCCGATGTGGGGCTCGATCCCAGAACTCTGGGATCATGACCTGAGCTGAAGGCAGACTCTTAACGACTGAGCCACCCAGGCGCCCCCCATTTGTTGTATTTTTTAAATAATAGTTAAGATCAGAAGTTAATTTGGCTTTATTGGGATTCACAATGGGCTTGTCTAGATAAGAGATAAATATTTCTTCATCTTCTTTATATTTAAGTATGAATAACTGTAATTTACTTAAGTTTCAAAGTCTCAAAGGTAACATTAAAATTTTTTTTTTAATTGTGACTACATATTACCATGTCAACAAAAATTCTTGGAATGCAAAGATTTGGTAAGAGGCAAGAGAAAGCTTTAGTGCTATAGAGTTTGCAAACCGGAAGTCTGCTCTGAAGGATAAGGTTTCAGCTCAGGGTTGAATAGGCAAAAATTGCAAGTTCTGTGTCATTAGGGGTTGTTCAGCCTGAGGTCCCAACTGCAACTTTAGGCACAGAGTGACAAACTGGATACAATTCAGTATTTCTCATAGCAGCTTCAGGATTTGGCAGCAGCTGCAGAGCCTGATAAGATGTGTGGCAGGGGTCTGCAGATTTTGCTGAATTTTGTGTGGGCTTGCCACCTCAGGCTGTGTTGTCTGGTTTTGCTCCCCATGGGCATTTGGTCTGATAAAAAGTTTAGTTTTTCTCCCTTGACGTGAAGGAACCCATCTTGTCAGCTGTGGTGTCTAATTATTGGGGTATTTTATTCTTACTTGTATGAAAAAGCTGTAACTTTTTGGGGGCACCTGGGTGGCTCTGTCGGTTAAGTGTCTGACTCTTGATTTCGGTCAGGTCATGATCTCACGGTCATGGGATCGAGCCCCACATTGTGCTCCACCCTCAGTGGGGAGGGAGTCTGCTTGAGATTCTCTCTCCCTATCCCTCTGCCCCTCCTCTCTTTCTCTCTCTCTCAAATAAAGTCTAAAAGTTTAATTTTTTTTGCTTAATTCCTCAGGGAGCACTCAGCATCAACGATCGCACCATACCTCAGCCACCTATTCTTCAGCTTTCCGTGGAGAAGCTAAGCAGGGATGGAGCTTTCCTCATGGATGCAGGCTCTGTGAGTAGTCTGGCTGATCTGGATCGTTACCTCTGCATACTATTATACCTTCATTCCCTTTAATATCTCTTTTCCTGAACAAGTCGTATGCTATTTAATCTATGTATTTTATTATGAGCCACCTTCTCCCTCCATAGCCTCTTTTCATGATAAGCATAAATGTCTCATCATGGTAAAAAGTAATTATTATTAGTTCAGTTGAAGATTGTATAATCTTATTAAACAAACTTACCGTTTTGATCTTTTAAAACATACTCAGTGGTAAAGGTGAGTCAGCAGCTCACTGTTAATACATGTCTCAAAATGATTTTCTTCCTGTTCCCAGGTACTGATGCTTTGGGTTGGAAAAAATTGTGGACAAAATTTTCTCAGCCAAGTTCTAGGAGTTCAAAACTATGCATTAATTCCACAGATTATGGTAAGACTGTCTTAACGTGATTGTGGTAGACTTACAGGACCATTTCATTGGTCTATGTATGGCAGGGTCCTTTTTTTTTTAAGATTTTATTTTTATTTATTTGTCAAAGAGAGAGCACAAAGCAGGGGGAGTGGCAGGCAGAGAGGGAAAAGCAGACTCCCCACTGAGCAGGGAGCCCAATCTGGGACTCGATCCCAGGACCCCAGGATTACGACCTGAACCAAAGGAATACGCTTAATGACTGAGCCACCCAGGCATCCCTATGGCAGGGTCCTTTTAATTGCTGCTCTGGAGTAAGAACTGATCTAATTGCCACATAAGCAAATGACTTGTGATCGGTGTCTGTTGGATTAATATATATTATTGAAGAAAGTAATAATGAACTCTGTCACCAGCTCTGTAACCATGGACAAGTCACTAACGGCCTCATTTGTAAATTAAGATTGTTCTTGCTTATGGAGGAGTAACTGAAACGATCCATGAGAAAGCATTTGTTTAGCTCTGTAGCATTTGTTTGGATAATTTTCAATTTTAAAAGTTAGAATTAGGTAGGGGAGCCTGGGTGGCTCAGTCAGTTAAGATCTCTAGGTGATTCATATACATGATAAAGTTTGAGAAGCACTGTAAATGATGCCTTAGATATGTGATTCAAGTAAGTTGGATATTGCTGGTTTTTGTTTAATAGACAGACCTTCCAGAACTTGAGACACCAGAATCTGCCAGAATAATAGCATTCATCTCTTGGCTTAGAGAGCAGAGACCATTTTTCCCCATACTTTATGTAATAAGGTAAGTTGAATTTTTCATATGCTAATAGTGAAATAATTTGTTAGCTTTACAAGGACCTATTTTGAGTCATATGTGACTATTGCTTAAGCAAACCCTTCAGAAAAAAAGAAAAACGAAGTTTCAGTAAATATTACTCAATTATGCTTTATATGCAATTACTAGTAAAGAGTATGTTAAAAGCCTCATGACAAATCCACTTTATTTTACTATTACATTTTATCTAATGTATATATTTTTGTCTTTTATTCCTCAGGGATGAGAGTCCAATGAAAGCAAACTTCCTTCAAAACATGGTAGAAGACAGAACAGAATCTGCATTATCATATTATGAATTCCTCTTGCATATACAACAACAAGTGAACAAATGAACAAATGAAGATATTTGACTTAAAGTCATGATAATGCAGTACACCTGAGAATGTGTAATACTTTCCTTTTCCATTAGGTTTGTGGACTAATGTGATGATTGTATGTTTTCACTGTGATTTCAACAAACTATAGCAAATAAAGGACCACAGCAGAGAATCAAACATGCTACTCTGAAATACTGTATTTTTCAAATCAAAATATATCTACGTACATTTGATTGGTTACTCTTTTCCTTTGCTGCCAATAATGTTTGAATTGTTATGGATTGAAATAGGATGAGACAATATTGCAGAGGCAAAGTACATTTTGTAAAATAAAGACTTCTGTGTTTCAAATGTATATTTCTCATTTTTTCCTGAAATTTTGGCTGCTACATCTACAACCTCACAAGACTTAAGTGTTGCAGGGATGTTACAAATCCATTGATAAATGATCTTTTTAAAATCCAAAAAATTTCAGAAGTAAATAGTATGTAGAAAAGCTAGAACCCATCCCCCACACCTGTTTGTTTTTGTTTTTTTTTTAAGGAAGAAAAAGGATCATCATGTTAACTAAAACTAGAGTAAACTAACTCTAGACTAGTTTGAGAAGAATATGAATAATACAGTTGAGCTTTAAAATCTGTCAGTATTCTCTATACTTGAAGAACAAAGTCACTTTGATTTGAAGTGAAAACTAATTAAGTGGTTTTCTGATTTGACTGCAGAAGACTTGGTTGGACCCAGTATCATATTCTGCAGTGAAAAGAATCAGCTGTCTTCATAAATACATTGGGACTGGCAATGATAATAGGGAGATGAGAAACTTTGGTTATCTTGATCCTTGAAGTGGGCTTTGGTTCATTTCTGCTCTGTGATGTATAATAAAAGTGTTATATTGGTGAATTGATGAATTAAAGAAATTAAAGGTTTTTAAAATTCTGTCTCAAATGTGTAACATTTTTCTAAGGAGTTTAATAATTGGAAGCCACTCATAAGATATTTATTCTTGGATATTAAACTTATTAAAGCATGAATGCTGCTGTTTGATTTGGTGGATATTAAGATTACACAAATCCAATATATTGAAGTTATGGTAGAAATGTGATTTCTGAACATGCTCAAGAGACTGCTTTTTTGATTGAGCCAGAGAAATATTATAGTCAAAACCATTGAGTGGATTTTGTTTACAAATAGGTAAATTATACATTTGTATATTTTAAGTGCTGAGATAGGATATCTTTAAAAGAGTTTGGCCCATTTTTCACAGATTCACCTTGTCTTGTATGAACTTCTTAACGTAAAAGTTGTTCGTGTGTAATACTTGATGAAAAGATTTTTGTTTCTTTGTTTTAATGGGTTAGAAAAATGTGTTTACAATCTTGGTCTCATACGATCACCAATGAAATAGTAACTTTCAGGTTTACATCAGTATGAGCTGACTTTAACTGAGTTGTTTGGGGATAGGGAAGAATCAGGTCCCATTAGAGTATAAACTACTGCTTGACTGCTGGATCAGACTAATTGGGTTTTATAGGAATATCATCTCCCTTAAGCAGTATTAAGGTTTATCTTCAGTATGCGAGTGGTACATTGAACTGGAAATTTTCTTGAAAGCTGCTTCATTATTATTAGGAAGCAATTTTCAAGTTGTAGCAAATTAAATTTATATTTTCCCCTCTTTTAAAGAAAGAGTCATCCTTGTGCACTGATGTTTCTTAAAATAACTGAAATTCTTGTGCTCGCTTTGGCAGCACATATACTAAAAATGGAATGATATTAAAATAACTGAAATTCTCTTCTTAATGTGAATAGTAAACGTTGATATTTGTAGGTCCTTTCTTAATAGTAGAGAAGAACCTTCCAGAGGGAAAAATTTGTGCTTCTAGGGACAGTGATCTTCCTTGTGCCTCACTTTAGAACCCTAAGTGGGTATGACTCTTGTTATTGCCACATGCTTTGTTAGTATATTTCACAAATTTACTTTTAAAATTTCACTTTAAAAATTATTTTAGATAGTGTATAACATGTGCAATCCAGAATAATTTTATAATAGGCAGGTCATAAAAAACATAATTTTAGTTAAGATTCATAATATTTGTTCTCTGGGTAATGAGAGAATGAATGAACCTTTTGGAGATACTGATATTAAGCAATTTTTTTTGCAATACTGAATGTGTTTTTTAGCTTGATTTTTTTTTTTTTTGCAGTAGGGCACTACCTATCTCATCTTGTATTACTTTTTGATGTAAAGCAACTAATATTTACACTATGCCATATTTTTTTTATTGTAGTTGTAAATTATGAACGATCCTCGAATTTTCTACAGATCTACAACTACTAAAGTAACAGACAAGGGCAATCTTGGTATTTAAATCTGAGCATGGCAATTCTACCATAAAAAGTACTCTATTTTTCTAATTTCTAGGATTTTTAAAATAACATTTCTGTACGTCTGACAATATTTACTCAAGCTGTGTACCATTTTAGTTTGCATATACTTCATTGTTTTAATTTAATGTAATGTATTGAGTCTAACAGACTGTTTTACAATAATTAGAACAAAGGATTTATTTCTTCTAATCAAAGATGTGCAACAGCTGTTATCTAGGGGACCATCAAATGTGATTTCAAGATTTTGTTAACTATTTCAAATATAATCCTTATATAGAAATTTTAATTTTGTAAAGTAGTGTATAATATTGTAACATTAAATTCTTGTTTCAAATTCAAATATGTATTGATCTTCAATTGTGTTAAATCTTGCTTCTCTTAAATATTAGAGACAAGATTTGTCTTCCTTTTTACAGTTTGTAATTTTCACTGTTTTATTCCTGTAAAAAAAACAGTCATTTGTAACCCATGCAAATAATCATTTGAACTGTGCTAACTTATCAATTTGGCTATTCAATAAAGTTATTGAAAGAGCTTACATATAGTGACCTGTTATTTAAAGGGGTATGGATAACCTGCCAGTCACTGAATTGTGCCATGTTGTACACCCAAGTCAAGTCAATGGAAGGCTTTGGCTGAAAGCGCTTTGCATCTAAGCTGGTGTCTGGGAGGTCATAAACCGAATTCTTGATGCTCACTTCTCAAGGACTGCTGGATTTAAAATTCTAGATTGAAAGGTTTTTTGTTTTTTTTTTAAATTCTCGACATGTTTAAGATGGTACTCCATTGTCTTCTGGACCCTTTGGTTATTGATAGGATGCCTACTGTCAATCTAAATGTTACTTTGAAGGTTATCTGTTAGCTTTCAAGATTTTTTTTATCCAGGGCGCCTGGGTGGCTCAGTCGTTAAGCGTCTGCCTTCAGTTCAGGTCATGATCCCAGGGTCCTGGGATCAGCCCCCATCGGCCTCCCTGCCCAATGGGGAGCCTGCTTCTCCCTCTCCCACTCCCCGCTTGTATTCCCTCTCCTGCTGTCTCTCTGTTAAATAAATAAAAATATTAAAAAAAAAAAAAGATTTTTTTTAATCCTTAACATTCTATAGTTAGGCTACTCTGAGTTTATAGTTTATCTTGCTTGTTTTTCAGAGCACATTTTAATCTCAAAATCCTCGTGTATTTTGAACTATGGAAAATTCTCAGCCATTTTTTTAAAGATTTTATTTATTTATTTGAGAGAGAGAGCATGGGGGAGAGAGGGTCAGAGGGAGAAGCAGACTCCCCCCGCCAAGCCGGAAGCCCGAGGTGGGACTCAATACCGGGACTCCAGGACCATGACCTGAGCGGAAGGCACTCACCCAACTGAGCCAGATGCCCGCCATCTATTTTTTTATTTTTTATTATTTTTTTAAGATTTTATTTATTTGACAGCAAGCACAAGCAGGAGGAGATGCAGGCAGAGTGAGAGGGAGAAGCAGGCTCCCCGCTGAGCAGGGTGCCTGATGCAGGACTCGATTCCAGGACCCTGGGATCATGACCTGAGCTTAAGGCAGCCACTTAACCAACTGAGCCACTCAGGCGCCCTCTATGGGTGTTTTTAGTTGCATTTTCTAGCCCCTTCCCCAAAACTAGGGCTCATAGTGGTGTTTTAGGGTTCCCGTCCTGCAGTGATTTGGGGATATCACCATTTCAGTCACCAGCAGTGGGAAGACTAGTTGCTGCCTTCCTTTCTGCCTCCCAACTTAAAAGCTGAAGCCCAAGGCTATGTGGGTCAATAGCAAATGATATCTTGAATATTTTTGGAGGGAGGGAAAACCTCAAGCAGTAAGTTTAGCCTCTGTGTCCCTGTGTGTTGTGCGACTCACTTTTAGTGCTTTTTAGCCCATAGAATGTGCTATCATTACCTGCTTCTGGACCTGCAGCCCAATAGGCACCTGACTTTAGCTCTGCAGTGCTGTTTCTGATACTTTTTATCTGCTAAAAGACTCAAAAACCTTCTCTTGTTTTTGAGTCTTTCTATTTTTTCCCTTCATATTTTTAGCTGTTGTTATTTCTGTGTGGAGTAAAGAGGGGTCCAAGCATGAACTTACTGCCTAAATTTAACCCCAGAAATTGAATTCTAGTTTCATCACTTATGGCTCAATCTTTTCAGGTTTGTAGCTACACTTTATCAATAAAGTATTATTACTAGCCTGCCTAAACAATGCTACATAAAAATTAAAAAAATAGGGGCACCTGGGTGGCTCAGTTAAGTGTCTGCCTTCGGCTCAGGTCATGATCTCCAGGTCCTGGGATCGAGTCCCGCATCAGGCTCCCTGCTCAGCGGGGAGTCTGCTTCTCCCTCTCCCTCTCCTTGTGCCTCCCCCCTTGCTTGTGCGCTCTCTCCCTCTCACTTTCTTTCTCCCTCTCTCAAATGAATAAATAAAATTTTTTTTAAAGATTTTATTTATTTGACAGAGACACAGCAAGAGAGGGAACACAAGCAGGGGGAGTGGGAGAGGGAGAAGCAGGCTTCCCGCTGAGCAGGGAGCCTGATGCGGGGCTCGATCCCGGGACCCTGGGATCATGACCTGAGCCAAAGGGAGATGCTTAACGACTGAGCCACCCAGGCGCCCCTAAATAAAATATTTTTAAAAATTATACATGAGACCAATTGAAAATGCTGTATTTTGACACCTCCTCTAAAAGAAAAATTTCTTGAGCGCCTGGGTGGCTCAGATGGTTAAGCGTCTGCCTTCGGCTCAGGTCATGATCCCAGGGTCCTGGGATTGAGTCCCGCATCGGGCTCCCTGCTCCTTGGGAGCCTGCTTCTCCCTCTGCTTCTCTCCCTCTCTCTCTCCCTCTGTCTCTCATGAATAAATAAATAAAATATTAAAAAAAAAATTTCTTTGGGGTGTCTGAGTGGCTCAGGCGGTTAAGCATCTGACCCTTGATTTCAGCTCAGGCCTTGATCTCAGGGTTGTGAGTTCAAGCCTTGCCTTGGGTTCCAAGCTGGGTGTGGAGCCTACTTAATAAAACAAAAATTAAGGGCGCCTGGGTGGCTCAGATGGTTAAGCGTCTGCCTTCGGCTCAGGTCATGATCCCAGCGTCCTGGGATCGAGTCCCGCATCGGGCTCCCTGCTCCGCGGGAGCCTGCTTCTCCCTCTGCCTCTCTCTCTCTCTCTCTCTCTGTCTCTCATGAATAAAAAAATAAAAAAAAAAAAATCTTAAAAAAAAAAAAAT